TCCCCCCCCCCCCTTTTCTTCTTTTTTCCCCTTTTACCTTTTTTTCCCCCTTTCCCTTTTCCCTTTCCTTTCTCATTAAAAAATGCCAAATTCTGTTTTGGAAGGGTACGTATTCCCTCCAGCAAATATTTATCTTGAAAGCTTAAGGGAATCTAATTCTGAGAATGCCCCAAACTGGTGGTTTTTTTGGGGAGAATCTGGGCTGGTGCAGGCTTGGAAATAGATGGGAGAGGGCAGCCAGTGCCTCTGACTCTGCTCTTCCCCAGGTTTGCCAAACTCCTCCTGCGCCTGCCGGCGCTGCGGTCCATCGGGCTGAAGTGCCTGGAGCACCTCTTCTTCTTCAAGCTGATTGGAGACACCCCCATCGACACCTTTCTCATGGAGATGCTGGAGACACCCCTGCAGGTCACTTGAGGGTCTGTCAGGCCAGACCCTGCTCCCCTGTGCCCCTGCACAGCCTCCCACCCCTCTGCTCTGGAGCCTGTGAGAGCTCCAGGGATGTCCTTCGCCCTCCTCGGTGGGATTGTCGTGGTTTTGTACAGCTGTAAATCACCCCCTCGAACCCTCCCTGGCCTGTCTGGGGCAGGGAGGGGGTCACAGATCCTCCAGCTAACCGTCCCCCTGCCCCCCTGTACAGATAATTGCTTTAAATTATTTTTTCATTCTCAATAAAAGTCAAGGAAACAAATAAAATAGTATTGAGTGAGGCACTGGTTGGAGCTGGGAGAGCAGTGGCCTCTTTGTGTCCACTGGTCCAGCTTGGGATGGGGCTGAGGGTCCCTCCTGACACTTTTGGGGAGCCCAAATCAGGGCTGGAATGTCACTTCTACTGATGGACACTGTCCTCTGGAAGACAGATATTGCTGCTTCTTGTTTCTACTAAGGGAAGACCTAGAGAAACTTGCTGCTGTGAATGAAAACATTTCATTCCACCGTCTTGAAACTCTTGGACTCTTGGAATTCTTCAAAGTTTTAAAGTAATATTAAAAGTAATTTTTTTTTATGTGTGAGGGGTTGGTTAGTTTGGTTTTTTATTTTGGTTTTCTTTTCTGAGCTAGTCTAGCTACTGACAAAAGAACCAAAGTGTTTCATTTTGGTCCGGGTGATGCAGACCTTGTGTGCTCATGGATAACTTTCCATTTTCCTGAAGCTTCATGCATCTTTTTCTTTTTATTTGATTTTTTTTTCCCCCCTCCGTATTTTTCCCTGGAACCCCAAATTTTTCATCTCACACTTCCACGAGTGAAACCTGCAGAACAAGGCACCATCCTCCAAAAAAAACCTGCCTGGTTCTTTCCCCTGCTCCAACAGCACCGCTGGAGCTCCCCATCGCAACCGAGCTAACCAGAGTCAAACGAGTTAAAGACATTAATTTGTTCAATATGCGGCGCTTATCCTGGTGGGAAAATGTCCTCCCAGGAACCCAGCGAAACTGTCTGTATTATTATTCATAAAACAGGTGTAGTGTTAAGTGATCTGCCCCTCCTGACCCTCTCAGCAGACAGTGGGGTGAGATGCAGCTTTGGCTGTCCGCGTGACAGATTGCGACGCTGCCGGCTCGGCGAAGTTCGAGGGAGAGGAGGACTGACAACAGAAAAGGAAGAAGGATAAAAATGAAACGTTTTGTTAAAGCTCCCACACGGGGACATGATTTATTTTCCAGTATTTTGCTGAGAGGAGGAAAAGGAGAATTTAACAGAGCGGAGGAAAAGAGGGAAAACCCCAACATTATGGAAAACGCTTTAATTTATTTTTTTTTTTCCCTCCTGAGAAAAACCCCAGGAGAATTTCAAAAGATGTGAAAAGCACTGACCAAGAATCTATTTTTTAATTGAAAAGGTAATTTTTCAGGTAAAAGAGAAGTGTTTAAATACAGAAAATAAACAACCTGCTCATTGTAAAACGGTTGTTGGAATTTGAGGTGCTGCACACAGGCTCTGCTGGGGTGGTACCACACCACTCTCCTGGTCAGATGGAACAAGAGGTCACCTCCAGCTTGGGCTGCTCAGGCTTCCCCTCTAAGAGATGTAAACTTCTAAGAGCTGGTCACCAGCTGGCTGGGTTGGGTTTCTTTTCTGATTGATGCTGGTCTCAATCCACTGTTTGTAAACAAATCCAGCCCGCTGCCTGTAATATTTCGATGCTGGGAGTGATAGGATACGGTCACCAAAATGGAATTCCAGGTGGCTGCTGGACACCCTCACTCTCAGCAGTCTGTGTTCTGGGCCACAAGGTCTCCAGGCTGCAGTTTGAGCAGGGCTTTGGCCTGTTTCTCCAGATGACTATCAGGATTTTGGAAAAACTTAACACATAGCCCACCATAAAGTCCCCCACCCTGTGTCTGGCAGGGAAGAGAGACCGTGACTCTCCCTGGGGCCTCTGTGAATAAGACACCACTTGCTCATCTGAAAGTGCCACGAGCAAACCAAAGTTCTCTGCAGAGGAAACAAGTCATGGAGCAGCCCAGCTCTCTCTGCAGTCACCGGGGAGCTGAGGGTTGATGCAGTCTCCTGGCTTTGGTCCCAACCCTTGGACTCCTCATTCATGTTGTAGACCTCTCTGCAGGGGTGTTGTCCCAGAGCTGTGCTTCCCCAAGCCTTGCAAAGTGTAGGAGTGGGTCTTTGGATACCCCGAGGAACAAATCCCACAGCAGCTGGGAGTAACTCACTGATGTGGTTTATCCTCCTAGGAGTTGCTGCAGAAGGACAGCAGCTTGGCATGGCTGGAGTCTCCTCAATCTTCAGCCCTGGAAAAACCTGATTTTCATAAAAGAATAGAAATTACAATCATTGATCAGCCAAAGAAAGCTTCATCCAGTCATTGGTTACCTCATGAAGTCCCTCAGAGCCTCAGATTGAGCTCAGATGATTTTTTCCTTTGGGAATGATAAACCAGCCAGGCTCTGGGAATGACTGGTGCAGGGCCATTTTCTCTTTGCCACCATGCATCACATCCCATGAGCATCCCGAGTTAGCAGCAGGTCCCCCCCACCATGGACAAACTTTGGTCTGGTGTGCAGGCCAAATGTGTCAAAGCATTTATTAATTCTGAGCTGCTCCCTCCGCAATGCTCTGTGGAGGGGGCTTGAAAAAATAGTGGAGTTTTGGGTTCTGTAGCAGCTGCTTTGGTTTCTACTGAGTGCAACAAAAGCATTTCTGGATTAAGAATAAAAAAAAGTACATCTCAAAGGATAAAATTTGGGCTGGTTTATGTTCAGTTTGACTCTGGGCTCTCTGATGGATTGAGTGATTCAGGGGCACAACCTGACATGACTCTCAGATACCAAAAGTGTGAATCCAACAGAGTGCCACCAGCACTGACCTTTTCTCAAGGACCTCTTGTCTGGACTGGGCCCTGGACTGGGCCTGGATTGGGCCTGGACTGGGCCTGGACTGGGCCTGGACTGGGCCTGGATTGGGCCTGGACTGGGCCTGGACTGGGCCCTGGACTGGGCCTGGATTGGGCCTGGATTGGGCCTGGACTGCCTTCTCCATCTCACCTGAGCTTCCCTGAGATATTCTCTTTGCTGCCTGATTGCTCTGCTCCTCCCTCCCAGCTCTCTGCCGTCCCATCAGAGGCCCAGCTGGGAGGCTGGAGGGGCTGTGCTCGCCTGGGACCTCCTGGAGTACCAGAGGGCACAGGGAGGAGGGGGAGGAAGAGGAGGCTCCCCAGAGCTGCTGCTGATGGCAGTGGGAAGCAGTGTGTGTATCCCCTTTCATGGCAAGGTACATTTTGGTGGCAAGCATGATAGAGAAGCCCTGGTAAATCCCCAGGTGTTTACCAGCATGAGTGGACAAAGACCAGCCTCTATCTAAGCAAGGCCAGTGGCTGCCACTTCAATTCTCTCTGCTCCCTTCCTGTGCTCTCTGTGCAATCACCTCTACCTGAGACAGGCTTGGTCTGGGGGATTTCAGTGGTAAAACGAGAGGATTTCAGTGGTAAAATGAGAGGATTTCATCACCCTGGGGCTATCTGACAGCCTCGTGGCTGTGGGCTGGTCTCTGGCTTGCCTCTCTGCCAGGCTGGCCAGCCCAGCTGGCTGTGCAGCTGCTGGTGCCTCTGAAGGGCTGTGAGGGTGGCAGAAGGAGAGGGAGGTGTGCTCCTTGCAGGGGTGAGGATGGTTCTGGTGCTGGGTGAGGCTTTTTCTTCTGCCCCTAGTTGGCTTCGGGCATTCGAGGCACCTGCATGATGCTGGCCCAGCGACTCCTGTCCCAAGGGAGGTGGCTCATGGCCATCTTCTCCCTTGGTCTCCTGCATGCCTGCTCCTGGGTGCTCCTGCATCTGCTTGGCTGGGCAGAGTTAAGGTGATGCTGGGGGAGGGATCTGGCTGCTGCTGTCTGGAGCCAGGGCAGCTGCTGAGGCTGTGGCTACCTGGGAGCCGAGTGCTGCTGATCCCCTTCCAGCAGTGAGCAGTGGGGACCTGCACAAAACACGACAGCTGGGCAGCCCCAGCAGGGAGACGGCTGGGGAAGGATGTGCAGCCCCTCTGCCAGCGTTGTGGCCTTGTTAATTCGGTTGGCAGCTTCTGTTTAATGCAGTTCTCCAGCAACACCCACTTTTTGCAACACCTGGCTGCCTGCAGACCCTACAGCTAGAAGGAGAAAGGCAAGACCTGCTTTTCCTCTGGTTTAATTCTCTTTGGCTGCCGGTGTTGTGGGCTTCTGCCCCTGCTTCAGCTCTGAGTGAGCTAATAATGGAAAATGGTCCTCAGAGGCTGTAGTGAGCTGCCCGAAATACTCCCCCCATGTTTTGTAGGTGTTGAAGGTGCACTATGGGAGTGAGGGGATTTGGAGTGTATTCCTTGCATATTTTACTGGTTCACCTGGTGATCACCTTTTGCACGAGGCCAGGTGTGCTCCAGTACCTGTGTGGGAGCTGGTGGATGTGTAAATCACAAGCTGCAGCCTCCCTGGTGTTAGACAGCCCCCAAACCTGATCCTCGTAGATCAAGCTGGGAATTGTACACGAGAGCTGCAAGGGGAGACAGTCTCCAGACCCTCCTCATATGGAGAAGAGGAGGAGAAGGAAAACCATGGGGTGGCAACATCCAGGAAGGAATGACTTCCCCTCCCAGCTGCTCCTGCATCTCTGAGCAGAGCAGATCAGGTGGGCGGTCTGAGCCTGCAAGAAAAGTGCCCTGCACAGGGACACAGATTTTAGCAGGGCTGGTGGATGGTAATCCCACTTCATGGGGCTGCCACGCCCTGGCTGTGGAAGGAAAACGTGCCCTGCACAGCTTTGTGGGTGGGATGGACAGAGTGGTGGAGCTGGGCTGGTTTGCACAGGCAAGGAAGAGCAGCATGCAGTGCTTGGAGCCCCTGGTCACGCTGCAGTCCTTGCTGGGCTGGTGACTCGGCAAGGTGGCTCCAGTGGATCTGGCTACACTTGGCTGTAGCTGCTCAGAGACCTTCAGGAGAGCCAAAGACAAAGGTGTCAGAGCCTGGTGCCTCCCTGCTGCAGCCCAGCCTTCCTGGATGCAAGTGGTCAGAGGTGTTTCACACCGACCCGTGTGACAGTAGCAAGGCTTTCATGCCCGAACTCCCGGTGGAGTTACCCTGGGATCCTCAGTAGGGCTGTCCCAGGAGCGCGCTTCCCTCTCCCACGGGATTTTGGCAGGGCGGTGAGCTGCCTGTGCTAACCCGTGGCCTCTCTCCTTCCTACGAATTCCCAGAGGACACGACCTCGGTCCCTGCATCACCCACGTCATCTGTGTGTGCGGAGCACTTGGTGATGAGGATGCCCCACAGAGAGGCGGGGAGCGCATCTGCCCCTGGTGCCAAGGTCAGCGGTGAACACAGGAGGTGAGGCCCCTAAAAGCCTCCCATCCTCCGCGATCCTACAGCGGGTCCCTCGCAGCTCTGCCGCCGTTTCCCTGCTCGCCGGCCGGGGACGGGGGACCCATCCCTCCTCCGTGCCGGGGAAGCCGCGGATCCCCGTCCAGGCTGCTCCGGCAGCGGCAGGTACGCGGCCCCAGCCCCGCTGCGGAGCGCTCC